TGAGAAGACTCCATCTCGTCTCTAGGGCCCGGCTAAAATAGCTGCTTATAAAGAGAAGCTAAACTCTGTTAGTGAGTTCAGGTCCTGATGATTTGAGCGCCATTCCTGCACCTTGCGGAAGGTGTTCCATTCATGCACGGAGGGGAACTGGCATCCTTTGGCAAGCAGCTCTTTCAGCCAGTCTTTAGAGATGAAAGGGACCTGAAATCTGAGCAGAAAGCGGAGAGGCAGCACGCTAAGGTAAGGAGCCCGGGATGCCTCAGGAGAGTGAGGAACACCTGACGCAGGCGTTTGGATTTCAGGAGGGAGGATTTTCAGCTCCTGAGTGGAATCTCCCATCCACTCATCCCTGAGGCATCCTGGGCTCCTTACCTTGGGACTCTATCTGCCTAACGACCTGCACAATAGCTTAATGATCACTTCCAGGAATGCCAGGTTTGTGATCATTGAGCAAAGCAGTCATGTGGCCAGTCTCCTCACGTTTCACTTAATGACCATTTTGCTCCATGACCAAGATTCCAGGCTTGATGGTAGTCAGTCGAGGATTACTTTTGTGTTTTTTAACTCACTAAATTGCTAGCAAATTACCCTTGGAAAAATGTTTCTCAAGCAAATTTTCTGCTAATTGTTAGCTACCCCAACTAGTGATTAGACAAAAGATTTATAACATCAAATTTATACATGAGTCTGATATCTTCACAAGTAATGTGTACAAGAATAAAAATTTGTGCCACTTCTGGCTAACCATCTCCACCCATGCATAAGCTGATATTATTTACCATAAGAATCGTAGCTTCACTGTTAACCAGTTTTTTGCATGTTTTTGTAAAAGGATATGAAACTTAGCCCGCTGAAAGTATATTTCAAGGCCAAGTAATTGCTTGTTATACCAGTATGATAAGCACCATCCTGATATGTGTCAGTCTATGACTAGCTTAATGCTCCTGCCTGCATTGTTGTTGCCCTGGCAGTTTTATTAAGATGTTTATTTCATCCTTTGAGGAAAGAAGTACTTTTATTGTTTCTCTAAAATAAGTATGTTAAGTGACTAAGATTTTATATTTTGCTCCCTAACCAACAAAAAAAGGATTTGAAAGTCGGTTTTGCCTTGGAAATAAATTCCTGTCATTTGCTGCTTTTCTTCTCGTATCATGTACCACCCAAGATTTATTTGCTAGACAAAGAACCAGAATGCCTGCCAGGATGCTTGACTGATGAAGTAATCTGCAATTGGCACAAACCTTTCCCTGGATCTGATTCACTGGATACATACCTACATTGCAGAAGGCTTTTTTCTGTTTTGTTTTGTTTTCCTCCAGGCTCAGGGCGACTTCCGACTAGATGCTTTCTTCTGATAAATTTCACTGGCAGTATATTTACCTGAAATATTTTTGTTTTTGCTTTTGTTCACAACTAAAACATACGTACTGTGCACATTTCTAGTGAATATTATGGATACCTGACTTTAATATTGTCAAGTCACTGATCAGAGATGTACAAATAGAAGCAATACATTAATAAATAAAGCTCTTTTAGAGCCAATGAGGAAGCCTGATGTTAATGTGGCTAATATTTATATTTCTAACCATCCGATAAAATCCATAGACTCAGGAATCATATGGCATTTAAAAATAAGATGTAAATTGGAACCCAAGCTGATTCAACTCATTGATTGAAAGTGGGAGTTTAACTTGTCTGGATTATTGTCTGTATAGGTTCTGAGCTGTGAGAACTGGAAAGTGTTAAAAAATTACTGTAAATGGGGGCCAGAACTCATAGACTCCCAGTTTCTACCCTGGTACCTTAGCCACTATATACCAGACTTGTTTCCCTAATATATTAATACATTGATTTGCAGGCACTGAATGGCTCAACAACTGTGATAGTACTGAAGCCCAAGACAGCAAATGACCTCTTCTATCAAGGGGGGAGAAGGCAGGAGCAATTATTTAACCCACTGGCTATTGAAGGTTGAGACCTTGGAATTAAATAGAGAAGCAATTGATTTTGGTTTGCTCACATCATGTTTGGAGAGATATTGTTATCAGCTGGCTTCTCTACTAATATTTAGCTTTGAGTTTGTTTTTCTTTTATTAAAAGCAATAATTTTCATAGAATGCAAATGGATTCCCATGAGTGAATCAATAATGCTTGTGTCAGTAATTTTACTGGGCTTTACTTGTCAGTTTATTAAACTCAGATCATTAATGGTAGTAAGTACTGTACCAGTTCTTCTGCAGATAGATGTAGCTTTGGAAGTCTCTCTCTCTGAAGACTGCTTTGTAATTTTTAATATACGTATGTCACAGGTTACACTATTTTAAATAGGGTATCAAGGACTTTTGGAAGCAGGCACTTTTGAAAGTCATTAAAATATCTAGTAGCTGGATCTGAAACTCAGACTAATAATTTAGTTGTTTTGCTTTATGTTTTAGCAGCATTGTCTACAGCAGTGTTTCCCAAACTTGACAATTTTAAGGCATGAGGACTTCAACTCCCAGAATTCCACAGCCAGCGTTGCTGGCTGTGGAATTCTGGGAGTTGAAGTCCTCATGCCTTAAAATTGTCAAGTTTGGGAAACACTGGTCTACAGAATTGTTATCGTACTGGTGTTTTCATGAGCAGAATCAGATTACATTACAGTTTCATTCTGTTTATCTGCTTATTTATACATAAAGCTCATAATTCCCTTTCACAGAATTTAGCTGCAGTAGAATGTCTGTTCTCAAAACTAGGAGCAAAGCATTCCAGTTTTGGCAGTATTCAGGCATAATCTTGAAAACGAGTCAGGAGTGGTATTTCAGTAATTCACGTGGCTTCCCAGAGGTTAAAAATCTTGTGCTACAGTGGTCATTCGTTGGCTGAACATGCTGATCAGAGTCTGCAGTTCATTGGAAGGGATCCAACAGTAGGATATTAAGGCCTGTGACTCAGCTCTGAACACTCAGTGCCAAGCATGATAAGCAATGTCATTTGGATCGGGCAAAGAAAGTGAATGTGATCTTCTTAAATATGCTTTGTGTTCCTTTGAGTGGGTAATTTGATTTAGTCAAGAAGCTGAGTTTGTAACCTTACATTATTTCAGATTTTTGGCAGTGCACATTTTTAGAAGAAATAAGATAATATTTTGAAAAGCAGTATTCTTATGCAGTTTGAATCACTCTGAAGAAACATCAGTGAAAAATTACTAACGCTAAAGTGCTGAAAGTTGAATACATTGAGGAAAATTTGGAAAAACAAAAGATCCAATAAGCCATCTTCATCCCAGACATGTGAGAAAGGAGAACAGTGGATAAATCTGCTAAATGTTTTAGCTCTAGATCAGTGGTTCTCAACCTGTGGGTTGGGACCCCATTTGGGGTCGAACGACCATTTCATGGGGGTCGCCAAACAGCGCAGTCTGCCATTTTTCCCCCTTTTCCTTAGCTGTGCTACTCCCTTTTATTCTATTGGCTTTTGAAAGCCAATAGAATAGACTCTCTCGAATAGAGTCTAATTCTATTGGCTTTCAAAAGCCAATAGGAATTGTCCAGGCTGTCTCTGCCCTGCTGAGCCCGCCAAAAGTCCCATTCTGCAAACGGTGCTGCACCAGTTGAGTAGTCCTCGACTTACGACAGGTTGAGTAGTCCTTGACTTACGACCAGTTGGGGATCGTGGCATTAAAAAGGTTGAGAACCACTGCTTTAGATTCTAGAGCATGGGTAGGCAACCTTGGCTCTTTTATGACTTGTGGACTTCAACTCCCAGAATTCCTGAGCCAGGTGTCCACGAGTCATAAAAGAGCCAAGGTTGCCTACCCCTGCTCTAGAGGATATATTTGGGAGTGCAGTTACTACGTCCATTGGCAGACAGAGTTGTTGATGAGCCACATGCTCTCACAGACCACTTTGCATTAAAAGCCTGTGATGATTTTGATCCTTGGTATGTGTATTTCCTGCCTTTCTTATTTTTATAAATAAGTCAGGATGGCAAACCTACCTAATATTCCTTCCTGCTCCTGTTTTCCTCATAACAATAAACCTGTGAGGTAGGTTGGGCTGAGAGAGTGTGACTGGCCCAAGTCATCCAGCTGGTTTTCATGTCTTAGGTGGGAGTAGAACTCACAGAATCCTGGTTTCTAGCCTGGTGCCTTAACTACTAGACCAAGGGTAGACAACCTTGGCTCTTTTATGACTTGTGGACTTCATCCTAGAATTCCTGAGCTAGCCATGCTGGCTCAGAAATTCTGGGGGTTGAAGTCCATGAGTCATAAAAGAGCCAAGATTGCCTACCCTTGTACTAGACCAAACTGGCTTGTGTGCCTTCTCATTCTCTCTCTTCGTGGGCATCTACCTATGGTATAATTAGCAGATGATCTAATGGACATAAACCTTGATTACTTGCCTGTACTTGCCTTAACCAGTAGACCAGGGGTCTTCAAACTTGGCCCTTTTATGACTTGTGGACTTCAACTCCCAGAATTCCTCAGCCAGGCACCCTGCCTGAGGAATTCTGAGAGTTGAAGTCCACGAGTCATAAAAGGGCCAAGTTTGAAGACCCCTGCATTAGACCAAATATATTTAGCAGGTGATCTAATTCTAAAGAGACCAACTGCAGAAGAATAGAAAAGTACTTTGAACATTAAAGGTGTATAACATTCGGTAAGAAGAATACATTTTCGTGTACCTTATTACTTTTTTGTGTGAATAAATACACTGCATGTCTTTTGAAAACAACAATTCTACTGCTTGTTTCCATTTATAAAATGTTTGAAAAAAAGATCATTCATGGTTATGAACTGGCACTCCTAGTGTGCTTAAAAATAAAAGTTTTCTACATTTATAAACTTATTGTTCCCAATATTTTATCAACTTTACTATTGCAAAGTTATTTTCTTCTTCTGCTGTGAAAGCTTAGTTACTATTACATTGGAAGACATAAAATATTCTGAACCTTTGTTCCGGTTGTTGATTAATTATGATTTTTAGCCAGCAAAGCAACCCATGGTCTTTTCTGTACAGGGCTTGGAAGAGTTAGCTGAGAATGTCTAGCAAAACGTCTGGCACAACAAACAACATAGCTCAAGCAAGAAGAACTGTCCAGCAGTTGAGAATAGAAGCATCTATAGAAAGGATAAAGGTTAAGTTAAATATATTTTCTTGTTACGAACTATGTGTTTATTATTTAAAGTGCATTCTCTGTCTCTCCTCTTCTGTTTTAAAATGCTTTTAAAAAAAATCAAATTATTGAAATTATTAGAATGTGGCTTTGTGGGTCTAATGTCTTTTGCTTAATGAAACTTCAGGGCCAATGATTAGATCCCTGTAAAAGAAACACATTTGGAGATTATGCTGGTTAGTCACATAAGTCATGATGTAATTTTGATCCTGTTCTGTTCAGTTTTCAAAGAGTTATCCTGCTGACTTCCAGAGAAACAGAATCCCAAGACTCTGACACAATTTTCCTCCAACTTTTTGTTGGATCGGGAAAAATAAAGATAAATACAAGAAATAATAAAGACAGTGAATTGGAGCAATAGAGCTAGCATCAAGAAAGTGAAAGGCTAGAATAAGAAATCAAAGCAAAGAATCCCAAGAAGAACAAAAAGGGCTATTAGGTATATTTGAAATAAAAAGAAAAATATTAGTATATACTCAGGTGTTAGCAGAAAGCTATGGAAAAAGTCACAGTTTCTCAAATTCTATTTTGATGCAGTCTTCTTGCTGTAAAGAGCAGAAGGAAGTGGCAGAAATGAACCTTGAGGTTGATAAAAAATATGATCAGAGAATTCATCTTTAATAAGTTTAAACCTCTAGTATCAGATTAATTGCAGGGTAGAGAGGAGCTAGCTGATGATCTAGTCACAATTCCCACACATTTTTGAAAATCAGAAAACACAGAAAGCAAAACATTTAGCAAATTACAGACCAATCAGTATGCCATCAATACCTGCAGAAATTCTAGAGCAAATCATAAGCAACTGTCAGCATCTTGAAGACAATGATAGCAAATCAGCATGGATTTGTCACGAATGAGTCTTTGCAGACAGATGATTATCTCTTTTTTTGATCAAGCAAATTCCATAATAGGTTGTGGGAATGCTGTAGGCTAAGGATGTGCATGAAATGAAAAACATAGATTGTTGTAAACCTGATATATGGAAGTTCTGCCAAACTGGTTCAGTGAGCCATTCTTTGGCAAAAACAAAATCCAGAATACTTTGGTAATTGGTTTTCAACCAAAATAAAAATGATTTTATAAGGCAAATTGGGAAAGGTTAATTCATTTAATCCCCTGTTTTCACTCCTCCTCTGCATGGTTTGTGTGCTGGCTTGTCTGCCTTTTATCTTTTGACACCCTTTTGATCTGCATATAAATCAAAATATCCAAAACATGCATGTTGGTTTGAGTTACAGACCATCGAAAGCCAGTTCTCCTCTGCATGGAATAATTCATGCATGGTTATTCTGCATATTCTTCCCGTAGACATACAGGTAATCCTCGGTTAATGGCCATTCATTTAGCAACCTTTTGAAGTTAGGACAGTGCTTGAATGAATGTTGGTGACGACCAGTCCTTGAAGTTCCAACTGTCCTCCCACTCCCCCATGTTTGCAATTGGATACTTGGCAACTGGCTTGTGCTTACGAGAGTTGCAGTGTTCCATGCTTACATTATCATAATTTGTGACCTTCCCTGGCAGCTTCCCACAAGCAAAGTCAATAGGGAAGCCAGCAATGAAGGTCACAAGTCTCTCTCTCCCACCCGCCTTTCCCAAACCTCACCTGATTGGTACCCCAATCACTCGCATACTCCCATGCAGTCAGCAGCAACTCCAAGCCCTGACATGCTTCCTCCACACCTCCCTGGCCACCCGTGCACCTCCTCAGTCCCTCTCACACCCAGCAGCAGCTATTTACCTGCCTCCCTGCCTGCTAGCAAGCCACCTAAGACTGGCAACTTCCTGCTGGCTTCCCCACTGACTTCGTTTGTTAGGAAATTGCAAAGAGGGCCTCACTTAATAACCCACAATTCTCCTTAGCAATGGCAGTTGGCATTGCCATTGCTGAACGATGCGACCATATGATTTTGCACTTTACGTCTGCATTGCTTAGTGATGGAAATTCTGGTCCAGATTATAATTATAACTGTAATATATTTTGACGTCATCAAAAGCATTTGACCTGCTGATTAGCAAGCTGGTTAAGTATGGGCTGGATGGCATGATAATTAAGTTGATACATAATTGGTTCAAAACTCAATTTGCAGGCATGTTTATCAATTGTTCTTGATCCAGTTAGAGGAAGGAATCAGTCCTGGATCTTGTATTCTTCAGTTTTTTTTCAATATTGACATAGGTGAAAAAGTAAAGGGAATACTTAACAAATCTGAAGATGACAAAAAATTGAGGGGACAATAATTTAGTAATCACATACCAATTGCATAAAGATAGGCTGTGGGGTACTTGGCTTAGTAAGAGTAAAAGTAGTCCTCAAATTATGAGCCATCGCTTAGCAGCCGTTCAAAATTCTGATAGATTCCCTCAAAGGTACTTATGATACAGTTCCAAAGTATCAATCACCACACACATACACACACACCCCAATGATCATGTCACCACATGTTGGGAATTCTCTAACTGGTCCACAAGTTCAGTCATTAGCAGTGAGCTACAGTCATATGACCATATTTTACTTCTGGTTTTCGACAAAAACAGCCCATAGCAAACAATGAGCTCACTTTATGACTGCAGTGTTTGCTTAACAACCACCACACATGATGACAAGCTTTACTACTTTCACGACTTACAACCATAACGGGCAAGGTCCATTATGGTCATAAGTCAAGGATTTACCTGTATATGTGAAGAAAATGGAATAGTAGTTGATTACAAATTAAATACAAGTCAGCAGGCTACTAAAACAGGTAAATGCAGTTAATAAAAGTATAATTTCCAAATTACAGAAAATAGTAATCATTGTTCTGTTTTGCTCAGACCCAGTTTCAAGTACTGTGCCATTTTCAGTCACCATATCTTACAGATCTGGGTTTAGAGAAGGACAACAAGAATGATTTCAAGGAACAAGAAACCAAATCTCAAGAAGAGAGAGAGAACAGGCTGGAGATGTTTAACCTTGAGAAACAATGCTTGAGAGGGCCTATTATAGCATTCTTCAAATTAAGGGATGTCACATAGAAGGCCAAGGCCTGTCCATTCCTATTCCAAAGTGCAGGCCGTGGAAGAATAGATTTAAATCCTAGAAAGATAGATTCTGATTGAATGTTAGTAATGATGTTCAAATCGCAAAAGAGGTTGACAGTGGAACCAGTTATTCAAAGAGGTGATAGGCTCCCCTGTTTTGAATGTTGAAGTAGAAGGAAAACTCTCTACCTAGGATGATTTGTGAATCCTGCATCGAGCAAGGGGTTGACCCGATGGCCTGAATAGACTCTTCCAATTCTTGTTCTGTGATTCGCTAGCCATTTGTAGAAAGCTGCCATCAAGATGTACTAGATTATGTCTCTCTTGTATCTTGATCAGCCTGGTCCCTTAGAGCAGTGGTTCTCAACCTGTGGGTCGGGACCCCATTTGGGGTCGAACGACCATTTCATGGGGGTCGCCAAACAAGGCTCTCCGCCATTTTTCCCCCCTTTTCTTTGGCCACGCCCCTGGCACCCGGTGATGTATAAGTGGTTGGGGGTCACCACAACATGGGGAACTGTATTATGGGGTCACGGCATTAGAAAGGTTGAGAACCACTGCCTTAGAGCATCAGGGCTGTGATTTCTTTGTGAAAAATAAGAATGCCATAGGCATTCCCAGACTTCTTAAGACGCATATGTGAAAAACAGAAAATGAAAAGTAATGCATACCTACTTTTAATCATATTTCTGCATAAATATGGCTTCTCATTTTGCAATTTGTTTATTTGCTACCAAAGTCTCATTCATAAACAAAAGCTAAAAGTCCACAGAGTATTTTGGAGGGGGGGGTACACAGGGGCATATTCAATGAATGTATATTCAAATTCACTTTATTAAGGGAAGCTTTTTGGGAAAATTTATAATTCTGCACCTTTTTTCCTCTGCAGGTGTCAAAGGCATCAGCAGATCTAATGTGCTACTGTGAGGAACATGCCAGGAAGGATCCTTTACTAATGGGCATACCTGCTTCAGAAAATCCCTTCAAGGATAAAAAAACCTGCATTATTCTATAGGCAAAGCAGCAAGATGCCTTCAAAACCTTCCCCTGCAAAACCAACCTAGCCAATTCTTAGAGAAGTAACCTGAAGGTCACCTGGTAGCCATTGCATAAAACAGCAACTTATTTCCACCTTGTGTATGAATGAACTTTTAAGTTTCCTTGAGTGTTTGTTTGTCCCATCCTAAATGCCAGGCATACAGTTCTAAAAGTTACTTCTTGCAAAATGGAAGGTTTCTACAAATGTTGTTAGACATGGATTCTGTTGGCTTTGTTGGGTTGAACCGGGCTGGGCTGGGCTGGGATAGGCTTGATTTTAAAATGCAGTGAGTGTTCACAGATCCAAGGATTGAACTATCAAGACCAAAGTTGCCTGAGCTTCATTTACAGAGTAGTGAGGTAGACAAGCCTAGAGTGCTAATCAAGCTTTCTTTTGCATTTGATTTTATACCAGTGTGTACCTTGTATATGTAAATGGAGTCTATATCTAGGTTGTGTGCATATGTTTGTTTAGATGTATAGACACATTCCAGAGTGCATTCTTTAAGGGCACTCTTCAGAGTTTATTGATGCATTTATTGGTAGGATTTCTGCAGTTCATGCTTTCACTATTTAGTATATCTTAAGCTCTCAAAAATGTCTTAAAAACCTACACATTTGTACATACCATAAATTCTGATTCTCAAAAGAGTTTTGAAAAGCGACATCTAGCTCCTTTAATCTATCTTTTATTTCCATTGAAATGTAGACTACACTAAATTCATATTGATTGTGATAATGGTGTCTAAAAATTTCTCCTCCTTTTCTTTTTGTCTTTTAAGAGGAATTCTGTCCTTTGCCTTTCCTACACAGTTTCTAATGAACTGATTTTTGGAAGCTTTCAGGCTTTTTTTTTCAGTTTGATCCCAAATGTACATTTCATAAATGTCAAAGAATCACTAAGTAGGAAGAGAGACTCCGAGTGAAATCTATGGTGCTACTGCTTCTGCACAAGGCCTATTAAAATCAGTGGTTGTGCTAAATAAATGCTTGAAGGGTTATAGCAGTTCTCAGCAGCAGCAACCAATCTTTTCTGTATGTTAACATTATTAATGAATTTGGGTACCGTTCATGTGGTAATGAGATGCTGAATAGAAAGAAGCAACACTGATACATTTTAAGCCAGGAGTATGCATCTCTATTCTGTTTGTTTGGCCTTTTAATTTTTATTGTAATATTATAATCTGCCATAGCTCTGTATTTTGAAGATGGATTAATTGTAGCTTTTTGTTGTTGTTCCTCAAGAAGGGAAAAGAATTGCCCCATATATAAAGGCCCTCAAACACACGGTTAGATTTCCTTCATAGAAACTTTAGCATGGAGTGCAAAGTCAACCAATAGTGCTCTCCCAGAAGCAATCATTTTCAACCAGCCAAGGGACACCCCCCCCCTTCAAAGATTTCTTCCTATTAGAAGACCTAGACTTCCATAGTGTTTGTATCTGCTTGGTGACAGCTAAACACATACTTGGTTTCACCGTAACTGTATTGAGAAGCTACCTGCAGAGCTGGTAAGCCAAAGTCCCTACCCAACTTACTGGTGCTCTTCACTGCATTAATCAAGCTGCTTGTGGAGAACTGTATTAATGCTGCATGCTGCTGTATTGATACTGTACTTCTTTTTGCCTTCATGTTCCCAAGATATAAATTTAACACATTTTAAAAACTAAAATAGCTTCCTAAAGATAGCATGGAACTGATAACAAAACCACACTTCTGCATTGATTTTCCTTATTTTACATCAGTCTGCTCATCACTTAATCAATATGCAATTAATTAATTGGATTAGCTGGAATTTGGTGCCATCTTAGTTGCTATCATAATTTAAAACAGTGTCTTTTCTGATACCAAATCTTAAGTTCTTATCCCCAAATCATGAGATGACCTATCTTTTGGTTTGTTTCAAGATATTGGACAGTGGTTGATTTGTCAGCTATATAAATCTGCTTTATAAAGAATGATCCTTGCAACTATTAGTCCATGGCAACAACAACATGGGTTAACTTGCATTTCTGTTAATTGTGTTGAACCAGATAGTAGTTAGCTTGTATTATGATCTTAACATAAGAAGTAAAATCCAGCAGAAAAGGTCAATCTATGTTTGACTTTGCTACATGGAAGTGGTTAATTCATACCAGTACATGGTCCTCTTGTGTAAAGATCATGTATCTAAGCTCATACATGATGGCCATAAAGTATTGAAGCTCTCTCAAGTGTCAGAGTTGATACTCATTGCAATAAGCCTATAATAAATGAGGATAGACTGCACTGGCAGGCCTATCAACTCTAAGAGAGTCGGTATAATTATTTGTAATGAATACATTGGTATTGCCATTAGTAAATGGACACCTGAACATTATATTACTTGTAAAAGCTGAAGTTGATGCTGGACATTTTCTCACCCATCACCAACCCAACCGGTTTCCTACAAATCCTATCCCAAATATCAGTATTTTTAAAAACAATTAGAATGTTGCTCTTTTTAGACCTATTCTCATCAGATGAATGCCGTTTAAAAAATTCTTGATGCGTTCATCAATTTTATATTTTCATAAAAATGAATATGCTATTTAAATGATTGTGATCATTTTTAATGAATTCAGTATATATACAGTATATACAGTATATATATATATATATATATATATATATATATACACATACACACACACACACACACACAGTATATGTGTGTGTGTGTGTGTGTGTGCGTGCTGAGGTTTTCGTGGGTGTTTGTATGTAGGTCTTTGGTTATTTGGGTTTTCTCCCGCGTAAAATTGGAAGTGTCTTGGCGATGTTTCGACAAAGTCCCATTCGTCCTCTTCAGGCTGGTGTTTTTGGCTTCGTGCTTCATTGCTCCTAGAAGCACGAAGCCGAAAACATCAGCCTGAAGATGATGAATGGGACTTCGTCGAAACGTCGCCAAGAAACTTCCAATTTTACGCAGGAGAAAATCCGAATAACCAAAGACAGACAGACAGACAGACAGACAGACATACATACATACATACATACACATAAACTGATATGCAAACAAAAGCATTTTCCATGTTGCAAACACTACACTGTCACCAGCAAATACTGCTCCGTATGCTTTAATGTAGAATAAATTTGGACACATTCAGTTACTCTCCCTAGTGAGAAGTTTAAACTGATTATGATTGCTCCCTGCCTCCCATTTAGGCTCTACTTCACATAAGATTGGAAGATCCATATCCTTAAATTTTAAAATCAGATTATTTACGATAGATGAAGAACTTCTGTAGCTCAGTTAAATACCCTCAAATGACTGAGCATTTAATAAATGAAGTTTCACTTGTTACATTGTTTAGTCAAAGCTAAGATTAACACTTGGTGATCAGGCATCTAAAAAAGCATCCAGCTTAACAGTCCTCTTGCCTGATAAGAGAGAAAACAAATTGGCTAGAGAAGGCATTATCAAAAGAAAGAAGGAAATCCTTAGATGTTGCCTTGCAATTGACCAGTGCCATTATTTTTTTCTAATTTCTTCTACCCATTTCTCAGCTCACATTTTTCCAAATTAAGACTTGAGTTATGATGCCTTGATATTGGGCCTGTTTTCTGGGCTTTTTGTTCTTTTGAGTTGCTAATCATGCTACCTTAGCCTTTTTAAGTTGAGCTCAGCTCCTGATGGCTTCACAGACACATCCATGTGGCTTTGGGGCAGCAAATATAGAAGTGGTTTGCCATTGCCTTCTTCCAGAAGGTGATCTTTTGTTGTTAAAATCTTACCATACTTGTGTATTCACTGTGTTGTAGTGTTATAGCACCAGGCCAAAATAGGTTGGATCCAAATATGCCCTGCCATATGGGGGATAAGCTCGATTATGTCCCCAAAAGCAATGTTTTAGCCTCACTCTAGTATGTTCCCAAGAAAAAGGAATACTAAGAATCCAAGCCAATACAATACATGCGTGCAGGGGAGAAAGTCCCATTTCACAAGTGAGCAGTGCTGACAAGACATACATAAGAGCCCATTCAGAGGCTACAATCTCTTGTGATTTTAATAACCACTATTCAGTATAATGGGGCTTATTTCTAAGTAAGCATGTATAGTGTTGTACAATACAACCAAAGATGGTTCTGTACATTGCCAGAGGAAGCATGGGAACTGCTATGAACTTGCACCTTAAAGCAGTCTGGAAACTGCTTTCTTTGTGCTTGCAGAGCAACGCAAGCAGCAATTCGATTTATGCTGTGGTGCTTTGGATCCAAACCAATATTTTCACCAGCAGTGCTTTAAATTTTAATCATTCATATGTATTTTACAAACCGAAGATAATGATTGAAAACACTTGTGTTATAAACTGCAGATGTTTTCATTTGAGCCAAGTGAAGTGTTGTGCCAACTTCCATTTATGAATGCATTTGGATTTCCCCTTGAAAGGCTCATGGGTGGTCAACCTGTTTGGTTTCTTGTATTGATTGAAATGTAGCAGTTTTCAATCAAAGGAACAATAAATTCAGAACCAAAATGTAACTAGCTGCTTTGGGTTATTTCTCTCCCAAGTTTAAGTTGTTACTAGATGCCTCTTCATCCTTCACCAGCTTTTCATAACTATATATATATATATATATATATATATATATATAATATATATATAATATATATATATATATATATATATAGGGGGAGAGAGAGAGAGAGAGAGAGAGAGAGAGAGAGAGAGAGAGAGAGAGAGAGAGAGAGAGAGAGAGAGTTGAAATATACACACATTGCATGTGTGGTGATGGTGATACCACAAAAAAGAAACTGAGTACATTGCATTCGTATCTATTGCCTTGGATTCACTTCAGTGGGACTTGCTGCAATGGTGCTTAGGCTATTATGATTAACAATAGGGGGAAAAATGAACACCTCTAATTTAAAATAGTAACTCCTACACTGTTGTGAAGTTTGAAGATAAGAGTATGAAACTTAAGGAGTTTTTAATCATTGTACCACTAACCTCCACCTTGGTGCTTTGATTGAAACATCACGCAAGAGAAATAATACTGTATTGTAGAGACACGCTGCTCTTTATTTATCCCTTTTAAATATAATAACAGTAATCTGTTTCTTACAATCTTCTCTGTTTTTTTTCTTGCTCTCACAAAATTATTGTTTTTGTGTTATTGTAATGTTGCATTGAAAAGAATAAATACCATGATTTGCCTTTGAAGTAAAAAAAAAGAATGCATGAAATTATTTTAATAGTTTTGTTTTATCTTTCATGAACGGTCTGTAATATGTTTGCTTTCATTGTACCTCTCTATACAATGTGATTGCTCTTGGAAGATGGTTTCTTGCAAACATTAGAAGGCTTAAAAAATTTAATTAAGATTCCTTTTCACAGCTAATATATTTAGTATCATGGATATAAAATACTTTAATTAAATATCACTTCTTTTCATACTGTTTCCTGCCTATCATTCCACTGCCCTGAATTTAAGTGTGTTAGAAATAATAAATCACTTTAGTTGCATCGTTTAATAATGACATGACAAACTGATTTGAGTCGGGCATATAATGTAATCACATTTTGCTGCTATTGATACAATTATTCTTTTAAGGCATCCATTGGAAAGCCAAAGGGTGACCTCTACTTTTACAGCCTGACTTCACTGAACCATTTCAGAGGAACACTGAACTGTAAAGACATCTGCGCATTCTTTCTTTGCAAATGGTTTGCAAAGCATGCCAACCTTTGAGCTTCAAGAATAGTGAATATATTTCACCTTTGACTGCATGCTCTGTCCTGAAGAGACAGTTACGAATAACAAGAATAGCACTTGCCATGGTCAGATTCTATTCAACAATGTGGTGATAATCCTCGTACTATCCTAGAACTGGTGTAACAAATCTTGACTCCCTGCCCTCCTTGCTGGGTGATGTTGCACGTGGTATGCTGATGTTTGTTGTACTTTTGAGGAAAGAAAAAGTGAAGGAGAGGATAAGCCCATATAACCCACCACCACTCTATCTGCCTTTCTATTGGTAATTGGTTTTGCTATGTACCTGTGGCTGAGGTAAATTGCATGTTGGATGTTCACCTGCTCTGTGGAAGCATGAGATCCTTGGATAGGTGGCATATCCAATCAATGCCTCCTTTGACTAGATTCTGCTTAAAAGATTAGTGAACAAGGATTAGTCTCACTTCTCATTTCAGGTGCCCAATTCTGTTGACTGCTCCTCTAATGCTATCTTCCATCCAATTCCATGCATTTATCTGAGACTACTGAACTCTTTGTAAAGTACGGTTGAACCCCTAAGAAAGACATGGTTTATAGGTATAGGTACAGGTATAGTATAGGGGGTACCTTGCTCAATAGTAGTAACTATGAAAGGGATCTCGGAGTCCTAGTGGACAATCGTTTAAATATGAGCCAGCAGTGTGCTGCAGCTGCCAAAAAAGCTAACACCGTGCTAGGCTGCATTAACAGGGATAGAATCAAGATCACGTGAAGTATTAATACCACTTTACAATGCCTTGGTAAGGCCACACTTGGAATACTGCATCCAGTTTTGGTCACCATGATGTAAAAAAGATGTTGAGACCCTAGAAAGAGGACAGAAAAGAGCAACAAAGATGATTAGGGGACTAGAGGCTAAAACATATAAGGAACGGTTGCTGGAATTGGGTATGTCTAGTTTAACGAAGAGAAGGACGAGTGGGGACATGATAGCAGTGTTCCAATATCTCAGGGGCTGCCACAAAGAAGAGGGAGTCAAGCTATTTTCCAAAGTGCCTGAAGGCAGGACAAGGAGCAATGGGTGGAAACTAACCAAAGAGAGAAGCAACCTAGAACTAAGGAGAAACTTCCTGACAGTTAGAACAATTAACCAGTGGAACAACCTGCCTCCAGAAGCGGTGAATGCGCCAACACTGGAAGTTTTTAAGAAGAAACTGGACAGCCATTTGTCCGAAATGGTATAGGGTTTCCTGCCTGAGCAGGGGGTTGGACTAGATGACCTCCAAGGTCCCTTCCAACTTTATCATTATTATTATATAGTTGGGCCATTTTAGAGTGGAATACCAAACATTCACTAAAAAAACAAGTTTCCATTGCCCTTAAATGGTACATTTTGGAAGCTTGTCTGTGTTGTGCAATGGCCATCTTCCTGCCCTGTGATTATTTCTGTGTGGGTGTGCTGACAGAGGCTGCTGAGTAAGAGAGTGAACATTTGTCCCACTAATCTGTGCAGCACTGGAGTGGAGTTTCTGCTCAATATTCCTACATGAGGAAGGGTTTATAAAGTGATTGTAGTAGGTGGGAACGATGGGTCATTGCAGTGTCCAGTTGGGAAAATTGCAGTTGGTTTTCCCTGGTGGTTTTTGTTTGTTTGTCTGCAATGCAACCTCCTCAAGCCTCATGTCACATAGATGTGTCATATGGCAGTTCCCATTATCTTTTAATATCAAGATGGTAGCCGTAATCCAATACAGCAGAAAGGTACCAAGTTGAGAAAGGCTGACCAAGTGAATTCAGTCTTGAAATCTTCTCGGTGAATATTGCATGACCCACTTAGACATCAGTAAGCAAAGGCACTTTTTCCTCCCAAATATCTAATTCATGTAGAGTCGTATTGCAGGCAGCACAAGATGGTTCGGACTGATACATTTTTCAGATTTTCATTCCAGCAGTTTCAAGTGATGATTTAGTAACCTACTTTCAAGTTCTGTTGCTGTATACAAACATTAATTGCTGATGAAACTGTGGCTAATCATAGATCTTTAACTTTGTGCAGGATACCGGCCCATCTGGTTTCAGCCATCTGGTTCTGCTGCTGAATAGTCTCCATTCATTTTAATCAGTCAGGTTCAAGATCCCATAGCAACCATTTTTAGACAATAATGCTCTTCCTTACTCTCATCTTTTCAAAAACAACTTTTTAAAAAACTTATGTCTTAATAGCTGCTTTCTAAGTGTTTTAAAAGGAAACTGGAAAATATTTTTAAAGCCAAGTTGGCCATAATTGTAGGTATTATTTTGTATGGCTGACACTTAAAATTGCAGGCAAAGCAGCTATTTGAGGTTTCAAGGGACAGTATCATATTTCAAATAATAGTATGCTTTCCTTTCTTATTAACACTTTGTTATTTGCTTCATATTTGGTGTTTTTAATTTCATGCTTTCTAATAAAGCTGAGTAGCTGATACCAGACTCATTACTGAGGCTCGATATGCTTTTATTTCCCATTTTCTATTTTTCCTGTAACATGGATTAGTTTTTGAACTTGTTACAAGTATTTTATATTTATTGAATAATTAAGCCACAAATGATGCCCTGCAATCCAATCTAATTCGTAATTATCTTCCTTTTGCCCACTTCAGATGTTTATGCAGCTTAGCTTTTTTTCTATGGTGTTATTAGTGGGACTTGGGTTAGAAAAATAATTAAGCAATTTCATGAGAGAGGTTCCCTATTCTTATAGCTTGAGAATAGAATGAAACAATTCAGCTGCTTCTGGAGGTACCAAGATTTCCTTACCTGGGACTCTCCAAACTCCTGAATTTCCTTCTGTGGCACAGCTGTTCTTAGAAACCGAGGTCCAACACATTTTCAAAATCCTAGAGTGGAAGAGGCTACTGGTGCTGGGGATCTTAAAACACAGCAAAGCCTCACTATTGTGTATGTAGTAAAAGTTATTTCTGAAGCAGATTTCCTAATGAAGAATTCTACAAAGAGGGGCTACTAATGCCTTTTCTTACAAGAGGCATATGTTACAGATAGCTGATCTAGTCATTGAGCAGTCTCTAGTCTATACAAAAAATAGATTATGGAATTGCTATTGGGAACACTTTCCACCTATCACAAGCTCTCTCTTGCCTGCTATGTAATAGAACAGGTATGCCTAACCCAGGGGTAGGCAATCTTGGCTCTTTTATGACTCATGGACTTCAACTCCCAGAATTCCTCAGCCAGGGTGCCTGGCTGAGGAATTCTGAGAGTTGAAGTCCACGAGTCATAAAAGAGTCAAGGTTGCCTACCTCTGGCCTAACCCATGACATTTATTACTGTAAATAGTTCCATTGCTCTATTTTCAATTACGGTAGCCAATTTTATGTAGTGGCTAAGGCACCAGGCTAGAAACCGGGAGATTGTGTGTTCTACCCCCACCTTGCATGAAAATTAGCTAGGCGACTTTGGGCCAATCATTCTCCGTGTACAACTCACCTCACAAGGTTTTTGTTGTGGAGAAAATAAGAGAAACGAGTACAGGGTATGTTTGTCACTTTGGGTTCCTTATAAAAGTGATACAGTAAAGGCCAGGTAAAAATTAATTAACTAAATAATGTGTGCCCAATTATATAACATATACTTCAAGGGTCTTTAAAGAATAATAGAAAATCAAACTGGAGGCATTTCAAGTCCCTCCGCACTCAGAGCACTTCACTTTCAATACTTTGTAATGAGAGAAAATAGGAGGCATTTGCAGAAGACTGAGGGTTTTTTTTTTTGTTTCAATTACTATTCTTCAGCTGTTTTTCCTGGACTCTTATTAGACCACATACATCTTTCCTCTATTGATTATTCATTTGCCTTTTTACCCAGATACTCAGGGCAAAATGTCGTTTAGGAGAACCCATCATTCCTTGAGAGTGTGTGTGTTTGATTGGCAATCATGTGCACGAGAAGAATATTTATTTTATTTATTTATTTATTTATAAAATTTATATGCCGACCAATCCCTAGGGACTCAGGGCGGCGTACAAAATTAAAACAATATAACAATAAAAATGAGTGCATTCATACAGCATGTCCCAATAGCACAGCTACTCTTATCTTCAGGTGTGTGCTAATCCCTTTGCAGAACAATTTTTTTTTATTTTTGTTAAGTTTTCCAGTGTTACCTGCTCCATCTTTTGAATGCAAACAAAACCTTCCAATTCCCTATTTGCCTATTATTATTATTATTATTATTATTATTATTATTATTATTATAGTTTGGGGGGGACCTCTCTATTTTATTAAAGGGGTTTATAAATCACAGCACATTCTCATATTCACAGATGTTATGCTGTTACAACAAAACTTCCAAAGTATTGTGCAAAAAACTTATAAGCTGAATGCCATGGTGTATGATAGTCACAATCGTGATCTATTGTTTCACCAACACCAACACTTTGTGTTGCCTCTAGCCTAAAAAGCAAAAAACAACAACCATTTCCTGGTGATTTTTAAATGTTTTATTTCAGTGAACACAGTCCAATTTCAAACATTAAAAAGCAGCAGTTCAACCATTTTAATACAAGTGGTGCACAAAATCCCTAGCATAAATAAATCTTTCACTGGTCTTGCGAAATAATTTAATACTTCTTAGAAGAAAACTGAAGAAATGGGCGTGTTGAAACAAAAGAGGATGGATTGCTAGAGTAAACGAAACCTTTTCGGTCTCAAAAGTGACAGGTATTTAAAACAGAAACTAGGAGTTTCCTTTCTGACAATGCCAACTAAGCCCACTTGGTGGCTTCTGAAAGGAATCTGCCACACTTGATTTCACAACCGTCTTGCAGAACTCTTAACTTCCTCTGGGGACTTCCTATTGCTCCCTCAACATGGCTTCTGCTTTGAGTCCATCACTGACCAACCGTGCTGTCAAACATCCTTCAGTTTCACACAATGTGCAGTTCAACCTCAGCCTACTGACTTGACCTCAATTACTGTAATCCTTGTGTCAGGCTGGGAAATTACTTCCTGAGCAAATAACTAAAGTATCTTGAAACTTCAGTGCAACTTTTCTCTATTCAGTTCAACTTTATTTGCCTGCTGTCACCGTTCAGGCAGATTAATAACGGGGACCCACTGATCCATGTAGCGGCTTTCACGGCAAAAGCAGATCAGCTGACTTAGGGCTGGATCCTTCCATTGAGAAGCATGTGGATTCTGCAAGAGGAGAGGAGACAGAAAACATTCACTGTCAGCACAAAGTAAAATGCTGCTGACAATAAAAGGACCTATATATAAAAGACACAAAATGCTCTAGATAAGACTGCAATGCAACATTTATTACTGGGGGCGGGTGAGTGGGTGGGTGGGGGAAAGTTCAACTGAATACCTTCAACTGATCTTATAAAAACAAAGCTTTAGTGATTTGGGGGAAAATTTAAACTTTTGTTTAAAATATCCAGGAGTTCACCCTAATAAGAGTTGCCTCTCCCCCTACAATTAGCAAAAGAGCTAATATAAAAAGTAGATTTTTTTAAAAAAACAACTGTCTGCAGCATGGTTTGGATAAAAAATAAGAAATTGATATTTTATTCACAAGCTTAGCATTATGCACATATTTCACAAAAAAATCATTTGCCTTTGCATGAACAGCCAAGTAACTGTATAAAGTGTATTTGTAGTTCATGTCAAATAAGGGCTTGACCTACAGAAATATTGGCTGCATTCCCTTATTGCAACTTGAATGTAAAAAACATATTAAATATTGTAAACCTACTTCTTAAAGTATGTCTTCTGAAGTTATGAATAACTTAGCAGTTCCCAAATTACATCCACAAATTACTAACAGTGACCAGTCTTTTAATCACAGCCAAGTGAATTATCTAATAATGACCTCTGAGCTAATTAGTAATGAGGAAAGACAAATATAGGCAGGGAGTTACTGTAGGAAGGTGACTCATGGGGTTGTTCACTCCTGTTGTCAACAGGATGAAACATGTTTGTACAGGTCTTTGCTTTCAAATGCTCAATAAGCAAAGAGAGAGGTTGTGATACAATTTGTGCAGAGGAAAAGGCTAATTAAAGCAAAGGCCATGCAAATTCTCACTTGGAACCAGATGCAGAAAGGTAAGAATGCTGGAAATTCAGGCTTACTTTGGCTACAATTATAGCTAAGTGGCAGGCCATGAAGAAGCAACAGAAATTATCCTGTCCCAGTAGGTTTTATACCCCATCTCTCAAGAAAACAAAACTTACTGTTACGAGCACACAGTGCAAGTCTGCAGGCTGTTCAACCCCTCCGCTTGCCCCTAAAAGCAGAAGCTCTGCAAGGCGGCTTGGGTTATTCACTCGAAGTATATTAATGTCATTTTCACAACAAAAAGCTTGAATCAGAGTGAAGTGAATTTGTAAAGCAACATCCTGGTTGTCTTCCTCATCTGCTGCCAACAGGCAAAGCACCACATTATCTGGATCCCTGGAGGGATAAAACAATACAGATCGCATTATTCACAGCGTGACAAACAATAATAAGTGTATTTTATAATGAGGAACTGAGACAAAACAGGAACTGAAGTCATGGAGCATATTACAAACATGGGAAATAATTTTGTCTGGGTATAAGCAGAAGCCGAGGCATTGTCTTATATGGGCTTGAACTTCAGATGACAGGAACTAGATTTTTAAATGCTCAGCATCCACAGTTCCAGCCTAGAGTGGAAAAAAAGGGCTTTTTTAAAACAAAAACCAGCCTGATGACATTTTAGCATCAAGGCGAAAAGACATAAGCAAAATCTCTGGTCAGCAGTTTCCATTAGCTTAACTGTCACTTGGCTCTTAGAACTCTTGCATTGTGGGTAAATTGGAAAGAGAAATAAAATAACTGCAAATGCAATGCTTTATGATCAAAAGCTGGGCACATCTGCATTTGGCAAGAAACTCAGGAATTTTTTTTCTGCCTGCATAATGCAAGTTCAGGAGCTTTGCTTCCGACAGATCATCCCCGCCCTGATGTTTCCTGAGGTAGATCAATCAACCTCGTAAACACCAAAGTGCAATATCACCATGAAGAATTTGGGAGGATTCCCAAGTCAAGACAGCCAGGCACCACCACCTCTCTCCACTTACACGTTGAGTAGTTTGGCAGCCTCATACACCCCAACGGTGATGCTTCTCTGAGTCAGGGCTTTGCTCAGGACTTCTTCCAGGGCATCCCCCACCTTCTCCATGCTGGCAACCCAAGGAGGAGAAAAAAAAAGTTTCAAAACTCAAACTCCAGCCAAAATGTATTCTCTCATCAAAGTTCACCATAATAATACACTTAAGGGGCTGTTTCCCTCCAGCCCCGAGGCCCTCACCCCGCCAGCCTATGCTGCATAACTCAAGATCCAACAGCTGAACAGAAAAGTCCTCTCAAGTAGAACCGATCAGCTCCTAAAGAAGCAGGGAGGGGGAGGAGATCCGGGAGGGGGGAATCATTTCTGTCTATTGGAGCGACCGCTGTCTAAACTTGCTCGCCTTATTCCCGTGTCCTGTCAGAAAAGGCCATGCAGCCCTCTCCTCACACACATATACACACGAAGGCACAAAAACGCTGCCTCTCCTAGTTTCTATTCCCACACAGGCGCAAATCTCCCTTCCCCGCACCGCCTCTTCCCAGATCGCCTTCAAGCTTCTGCACCGCGCCTGGCCGGCTCCCCGTCCCCTCCTCCCCTGCCCAGCTGTGAGGTGGCAGTCACGGTTGCCGGCCGGCCGGCGAAGCAACGCGAGCGGGGTGATCCCTGCTGCGGCTTCCGCGCTGCTTGCCCCCCCTACAAATTTCCACCGTGCAACTGAACGCCTCTGCAGGCGACCAGCCGTTCTTCGGACGGCCGAAGGGCAGACGCTGCTCCTCCCGTACCTTCCAAAAGCCTGATGATCCCCAGCCAGATCTTCCAGGGTCATGTTGCAGCTGCAGGTGCCTGCAGAGAAGGACGGGAAGAGGTCGCGGGGATCGGGCGTTCTGCCCCGTTCCTCCGCCGCCGCCTCTCGCCTTCTAGACGTCCTGGAGGGTTCCTCTTCTCCGTTTGCTTTCCCGCAAACCGGCAGTCCTGTCTCTCCAGCAAGCCAATCCCCAGCTTCGGCTGCTGCCCCTGTTCTCTCTTTGTACTGTGCCGCACGCCCTTTTGCGCTTTGCCCAAGTCCCCTTCGCTCCACGCCGCTTGCAGCCTTCCGCCTCTCGATCTAGTCCCGCAACGCCGGCCGCCCTCGGCTACTCTTCACCGCCCAGCTGGAATGAGGGACAAAGGATCCCTTGGGCCGGAGTTATCCTGCCAACCTCTGGCCAACCGTCTGGCGCCTCATTTGCATACTGCCGCTCGATTGGACCATGCAAATAAGGCGGTGGCGTGTGTTCCTCCACTTGACCCCCGCTCGCGATTTCCAGTGGAGAGAAAGGCAGAGAGCTGTCAGTAACTTTCTCTGCCTGCGCTTAATGCTGATTGGGCGTTGCGGTTGTGAAGGGCGGCGCTTGCTGTGGGAGAGCGGCGGGCGGCTGGTTTCCTTCCTTCCCGCCTGTCTGGCTTCAGCTGTTTTTCCTGTTGGTGCGCGTTCCCCCTCCCCGCTTTGTTTTGAAGAGGGGGGGGGGAGCGATCGAAGGGGAGGGATTGACGGTAAGCTTCTGTTTGCAGCCAAATGTTCTGGCGATCTTCGTTTACAATAAATAAGTGGTAGTAAGCAAATTATAAAAGTCAGAAAGGAAACCGATCGGCTGCAGCGAAGTTTATTTCCCTCGGGGGCGGGTGACGTTGCTGGGCTGACTGCCTAATGGTGGAATCCCTGCAGCACTAGGCGAAACAACTGGCAACAGCTGGCTGCTTTTTCCTGGACTCGGGATGTAACCAGGATTGCAGCTGGTTAATGCGTCGATGGAAGAGTGGGAAGTCAAAAGGTTCTGGAAGGCAGAGGCAGGTGTCTTCTGTTAGACGATTGTGTTTGTGGAAACACCAGGTGCAGAGCACAACTCAACCTGAGTGTTTTTACTTAGCAGCTTAAGACCTATTCAGCCACAAACTAGCCAACCATGTTTTGGTCTCGTGGGTTGTGCCAACCCAGCCCTTGTGGCTTGCCTATGATTCATTCATTGGCTGTGTGAACCCAGGCTCTTGAGTGAGTTCAGGCTCCCTTGTTCAGTTGTCATGTTCAAACACACCCACTGAATTAAGATGACACTTCTTGCTGTTGCTGTTTATTTGGTTTATTGTTGACCTTGCTATTGAGCTGCTAAAGACATCATGGATTCGATAACCCACATGCCATGATTATTAAAGCCAGTGACCAAAACAAAAACATTAATACAATCCTAGGTCAGAACAATATTACATATAATAAAATAGAATAAAGTTAAAGGCCAACTGCAGTAATTAAATAAATACATACCTACTACCGCAAATACAGTAGTATGCCAGGTTCGAGCTGCAAAAAAGCAAAATTTGGGGCAGCCAAGTAAATGATTCTCGGTCTTTGGCAACTAATAAAAAAAATGGCTTAAATTGTTTTGCCAGTCACTGCTTGTTTACCTTTTTGGCAATACCAAACCCTGAAAATAGCTCATATCCTGGAGAGAGGCCAAATGATGTCAACCTGTTCATAATAGTATTCCACTACTGCAGCCGAGGATTGTCAGATATTAGAAAGGAAAGTAGTCCAGTTGGAGCCAGATGGATCCTCAGCCAAGCCAATAAAATAGCTTGCCAGATTTGCGCTTTGATTTTAATTAGACCACTTGCAGATCTCAAGGCTGCATTGGAAATACTACTAGGAGTCAGACCTCTTAGGCAACCTGACTGGGTTTTTTTTTTTCAAAAAGTTCAAAATTTATATAAGGCTTGTGCTGCTGATTATGCAACCTTTTAATGGCAGCTAGAATGAAATTTATCCCCCCTGTTCACTCTGATGTGGCATTCCTGTGCCTCCGAGAAGACATGCTTGGCTTGACCTTCTGGAAGCTTAGAAGATAACCACTTAATATCTCAAGCAGCTTGCTTCGTAATCTACCTGTAGGCTAGCTGTGAATCTTAAATTTGTTGAAGAAAACAATCATTTTAATTTGGGGGAATTAATAAACTGTTCTGTCCTTGACCAAGGCATGCCTCAAAAGAATCCCTATTGGGCAAGAACATTTAGGATTCTCTGGAGGTGTGCCTGGATCAATGGCAGAACAGGATCTGTAGTGCTTTGCCATCGATTACCAATTTGTTGTAGTTACAGTGGCTGTGTTAACTAAATCTTGCTGGATCCTAACTAATTGCCTATGTTCTTCTCTACAGTAAACCACAAATGTTCAAACTCAATAATTAATATATTTTATTCTCTCATATTTTTCTCTCTCTCTTTCAAGAGGCTAAGGCTAGGGAGTCCCCACTCCACCTAACAACCACTTTTTTGACTTCAGATATCTTAATTTACAAAAATAAGTCTGGTGCAAGTCACCTTTATGACTCTGACAAGTTGAATCTAAGGACAAGAGAAGAGAAAGGGTGGGTCCAATCATGCCATGTTAATTGGGTTTTTGTTTTATGCATGTGCATTCCATATGGATGAGAACAACATCAAGCAATGACTTGTAGATGTAAAAATATGTCATCCAGAGCTACGTACTACAGACTCAATTTTTAAATTACCTCCAATATAATAATTAGTGTGGCCATGTGGACCCATCAATGCATACTTTCAGATATTGGATACTGGTTGTTTTTGTGTACATGATACTAAGTTATAGTTTGTGTCACCACGATTTTTTGTGCAAGCTGTGATTTCCAAAGCAGAATGGCTAAGTTCACACAACACACCAATCAAAAGCAAATAAATCACATTCGCATCCTTTTTTATCTGCTGTTGGTGCAGTATGGTATGTCCACTTTGTTGTTGCATGCATCAGTTTGCAGCAGGGACTCTGAAAATGTGTTAGACAACTCCAAAAATTCCCAGTCATGAGGGCTTCTTAGGAATTCTAGAAACTGCAGTTTCATCACACTTTTAGTGCATCACTAAAGGGAAAGCTGGTTTACAGTAGTTAAACAAAGTCACTCACATCCATACAGATAAGAACACTATTAGGATCTAAACACAGGACAAGTAGATCTAAAGATTACCTGGCTGTAAGCAGCAATTTCTGTTAAGGCCAGAGTACCTTATTCTGCCAATCAAATGTTGATATTTTTGATATATTTTGGTATCATATAGAATTGAAAGGAGAATAACTACTTCTGAAACAGAATGGAAAGCCAGCATACTGTATTGTTGGTTTAGAATAAATTGTGTACTGAATGTGTTATTCAGTTACATGGAAGTTAGTTGGTATAAATGACAGTTGTCTAGAGTCACAATGGAAAGCTGAACAAAGGAAAATAATTATGACAACCTATCACTTCTGAATTGGAGAAAGGAAGGAAATGGTCTGTGTTAAATAAATGGAGGCTAGGAGCTGGTAGTGATCTGCTGTATCTACGTACATCTACAAAATAGCTTGCAAATTAGTTGAGATTTTTAATCTGCTTTTATGAGACAAGACCAAATTACAGATTTTATATTTCATAATAAAAAGGTATATTTTCTGCCAATCTTTGCAAATCTATGTAGATCAATGGTAGAAAGAACTTTGAGTTTATTTCACAATCCAAAACACCAATGAAGAAGCTCGCATTGAAAGAATAACCTATAAAGAACATGGTGCTGGGCTTCCTGTTTCTTTATAACTGACCTTTGTTTGAAAAAAAAACAACAAATAATTTTGCATGGGCAGAAAAAATGAATTCTGCAGTGTGTGTTTTGGGCTCTCTTGCTCTTTCTCTCTACCCCCGACCCCGATAACTACATCCCTGCAGTATTCCTCAAACCAATAACTATAACCATTATGTCATGTGGACAGCTAAAACAAAGATTGGGAAGTGGGATAATTTCATTTTTTAGCACTTTTCTCACAGACTTTGGGGCATAAATTTTAATTGCCTTGCATTACATTTTGTACTTTTTATCATATTGTAAGCCACCCAGTCAATTATTTATTTATTTATTAAACAATTTAGTAAATAAATAAAAATTGAAATCAGTCGAGGATGTACAAATTGTGCAAGGCAAAAGAGTTATTTCCTCATGCAAGTTGGAACCCTCACACGATAAGAGGCTTGGATAGACTCTGGTGGGATAGCTGACTGGGGAGTAAACAAAGTCAAGATGGGGGCTAACCAAAGTCCCTCTGCTTTGTAGGCATGCACTTACAAAAGGGGCGGGACTTGGATTGCACATCTATGACTGCCACATGGACTTTAATGGATGCTGCCTCCATGCCTAGTTACTTCTCACAATCTGGTTTGTGTCTCAAATACAGCCCATGTTATTCCCTCTGCATGGTACATCTATCATCTATCATCGTTGTCCCTGTATAAAGTCAAAAGGAGCGCAAAATTATGGGAATCCTTGGCTCTCCACCTCCGGTAACTTCTGATAGGTAAGAATGAAAGTTCTGGTTTGCTGTATATGCAAAAGCATATCTGGTGATAGTTTGGCTATTACCTCTCAAAAATTGTTTACCAAATGTTATCAATCAAAACAAAGTTAATAGGAGACCAGCTTACTGCAAAACAAAGCATCAGTCTGAAGCATAAATGTATTTCCAAAAATATTGCTAGGTCCTATATAGGAACGTTAATGCACAAAGAAATATGGCTGCAGCCCTGTGCTTATAACAACCCCATCACATGCTTTCAATAGATTCCAAAAGATTGAAGATCCTTCCTAGAAGGTGTTAGGACTTAAAGCAAGTCCTCTCCCGTTCCATTTTCCCTTCCATGTCAATAAGTAGAAATCATTGTCTTGTACTCACAACTTCTGGAATATTTTGATTTCTTTCTTGGATGTACAAGCTGCATGTCTTGAGAATTTCTTGACTATATGTATTCAAGCTGTATCTCATTTGAAGCTGTCTGGTTTTTGCCAAAATTGTATGTATTCAGTCATTTAAGTGTGTTCCCAAATATGATCTAAACTTCATAAACTACTCCCAAATATAATCTAAACTTACCTCCAGAAGCTGTAAATGCTTCAGCACTGGAAGTTTTTAAGAAGAGATTGCACAACCATTTGTCTGAAATGGTATAGGGTTTCCTGCTTGAGCAGGGGGCTGGACTAGAAGACCTCCAAAGTCCCTTCCAACTTTGTTATTCTGTCTGTTCTGTATGTCTGTCACATATTCACATCTTTACACTCCATAGCCAGTCAGACTTCTTCAAAAGTTTGACTCATACATCCAGTGGAGCTTTTTGCACTAGTTAGCTATGCCCAGAACTGCAAAGGAAGACTGCAACCTTATAGAAGTTTATTCAGAAGAAAATCCTGTACAATGAAACTTAATTCTGAGTAAATGTGTACAATTTTGTCTGAATTATTACAGGAATCTGAGGCATCAATTTCACTTTTTTTAAAAAAAAATGTCCTCATGTATACCGGTATTTATTTAGTGGTGAAATATGAGCATCATCCATACTATTTGGCATTTGAGGAAATGCCATCTAAATCCATTCCCTTTTGGACCTCATCTGGAGTCTCAATTGTGTTCTCCAGTTTCATAATTACCTTGGCAGAAGCCAAATGTTCTGCTTCTTCTAAGAATCCTGATTAAAGAGAAGCAAGGAAAGAGGGCATGTGAAAATTCAGAACAAGTTTGGAGAACGATAGAATATTGGTTATTGTTAAAGCTCAGAGATATTGCACTGGGATCAATGTGACTATATTAAAACCTCATTAAAGGTGTGGATTAAAAAGAATATAGTAACCAAAAGACCATAGTCCTAAAAATCAATTAGGAATTATGATTAAATTAGATATAATCTAGGGACTTTTCCTTAAAAATAGAGAAAAACATGTTGGAATATAAAAATAGTTAATAGATTATTTTATTGTTGTTGTCAAAACTAATGTTAGTTTTATAGCACAAATATGTTGTATGGTCACAATTTCAGGGATTTTTAAACTTGAGGAAATTTTATTATATATATATTTTAATCCTGTAGATTAGAAGTTTAATATTAAAGGACAGACTAGAAACCATGTAAGCCAGGGGTCTTCAAACTTGGCCTTTTTATGACTTGTAGACTTCAACTCCCAGAATTCCTGAGCCAGCATGCTGGCTGAGGAATTCTGGGAGTTGAAGTCCACAAGTCATAAAAGCGCCAAGTTTGAAGACCCCTGATATAAGCAAATCAGTTACAAAATAAAGCTAGTTCCATCTTTTAATGTCCCTTTATTTCTAAATTTAGAAAATACTGTATGGTATTTGAATACTTTTGACTACTATTTAATCTTCAAATTAAAGATAGCAGGGAGCAATCCTGCATAACCCATCACTGAATGTGACAGATTTGAGAATATATGCTTCAGTTGGTAGTTGATTTCCTAGGGGTATTTTTATATTTGATTTCACTAAAAGAACATTATCAACTATTTAAAATAACTTTTCCAGATTTAAGATTACAATGATCACAAGATATATTTTTTCCAATATTTCAGTGCATGCTTATAATGACCAGAATTTTTAATTTGCCTGAACCAGCATTTAAACTAAGAATGGTCAAATGTTGGTATTAGGAAGTGCGCCTAGCATTTTTTGAGTGGTGAGTGATGCAAAAGAGGTCTTAGATTTTCTAGCAGAAGCTGGTTTTGCAGGAAATTATGGGGCCGGCTTTATTTTCTGAACTATGTTAAAGACTATTTTGAAACATACATTATATGTTTTTATTGTTTCTCACCAGCCTAGCTGGAAGCACATCATCCATTTTCAGCAGTGTGAACTACCAGCTACATAGAAGGGGTATAAGGGCTGCAGTTGGCTCTCAAGTTTCAGATGGACCATCCCTGATTTCTTTAACCATTGCCTTTTGGGGATACATTTCCTGAAAAGTTTGATATTAAATACTTTTTGAGAGGGTAGTATCCCCAATATGGAATTTCTTTCTAATAGTCAACAGCCATATTTTTCAATACTTCAAAGAATGCTTACTATAAGTGGATCCACTTATAGATAACTAGCTGGATTTTTTTCTTTCATAAGTATTGTATTTATTTAAACAGGCTACAACCTTCATTTTCAAACTTAATACCATCTCCAGAAGGAAAAAATAGATAAAATAAACTCATCTGTTTTCATTATTGTATTCTCAGCTAAGATTAAGACACTTAAAGGGAAAGACTTTATGCTCCTCCCAATGCTCTAGTGCACTGTACCTCAATGTCTCTGATTTATGTCCATGTTGGGTCCAGTCGTCAACCATTATTGTAAGTCTAAGTTCCCACTGAAATGCTGGAGCTCCATAGAGCTTAGGAAAGGTGTTTTTTCTCCTGGTTTCTGTTATAATGGCATCATGTCATTATCCTAGTATTTTACTATTCACTGTTCCATTCAGTTATGAGCAGAAGGTTGATGTCATGGCAGTTTCCCCCTATTAGAACAACTTCAGTGATTTTATGTAACTTGCCAAACAAATAAATAGATCACATAGGTGGTGTTATTTGTCTTCCATTCATCAGCTAGATGAGAACACCACAAAATGCATATAGAGTTTCCCTTTCTTTGTGGGTAGCAGCAATGAAGATGCTTGCAAGTTATTTCCAAATTGCTGCAGTCTTTGTGTGTAGGTTCACATCTTTGGATGTGCAAGAAGGAACATGGCATGAAAACCTCTTTGCCTGAGAGTTACTGAACGTAGATTCATTTCTAGATGAAAAAACTTCAGCTGCTAGACAGCACAACTCAAAAAATGTTGCCAGCAGGTTTCTTACATCTGAATAATTTTTGTATGAACCTTTGGATATGTCAAAGGGTTTTAAGTATTTGGGTGCTTCCAGAGAGAAGAATTCCAATATTACCCATCAAACGATGCTGTACCATGCAGCAGTTTCATCTTTCTTCTTTTAGTGGTGAGAAAAAAGATGGGAAATGTTGAGAAAATGTAAAAGGAAAGACTTTGTTTCTTGCTCTCCTGCTCCTCACATTCTTCTGTAAACTATCATTAGTGAGATGCTCATCCTCGCTCACTTCAAAGCTTTTTTTATTGAAGCAAAGGTAAATACCAACGTTACAAAAAGAAGTATGATGATGGAGAGACAGACCTCTTTGCTAAGTTTTCACAACTGGCCAACCGATCCCAAACATTTATTCTTTGATAGGTCTACCAGAACTGGGTTGCAAAACTCCAGATGATCACCAGATAGGGAAAAAAATTAGAATCTTCTGATCCTGGTTGGCCAGATTATTTTTGCAGCCCAAATCTGAGAGACCTATTTTTGAGAATGGCTCAGATGTCTATTAGCATCACTTTGGTTTTGTTTTTGTTTTTTTGGTTTTTTTTACAAAGTCACATCCTGAATTTCTAGTATTCTCGTAAATTGATGTAAAGGCTCAGGCAAAAGCTATGATGAGAAACTTTGTACTTGTGTTGCAACAGGAAGGGAGAAGCCATAGAGCTGTTGATGTCACCAAGGCCGTCTTGAAAAGCAAGGTCCACTTTTGCACATTGAAAAATGTTTGCTGGGAGATATGAACAGAGCAATATTAGCCGCTTGCAGATTTTGATTAGTGCAGTTCTTCAATGAAGGGGGAAAGCAGATTACATTTCAGTCCAATTTTTAGCTCTCTAAGAGTTTAATCTGAAAAATGTGAGAAGGTAGAACTTCTACAACTTACAACAGTTCATTTAGTGACCATTCAAAGTTACAACGGCACTGAAAAAAGTGATTTATGACCATTTTTCACGCTTACGATCTTTGTAGCAGCCCCTATGGCAAGAAGAGTCATAAAAGGGGGCAAAACCCATTTAATGAATGTCTCACTTAACAACAGAAATGTTGGGCTCAATTGTGATTGTAAGTTGTATATATATATATATATATATATATATATATATATATATATATATATATATATATATATATATGAAATTCCTCACATAAAACCACAAATCCCCCAAATATGTAATGTTGTCCCATTCAATTGTGTCTGTCTGCCTGCTGCAAAAATTAAATGCAGCCCCGAAGGTGGCCAACCTCTACCTTAGCACAACGTGTGAATTCAGCCAATTGTTGCTTATTCAGTCCCTAAATGTTATATGCAATTTTCTTAGGAGGAAGAGATTTGTGACCTTTGTGGATTTTTTCCTTAACCACTTATACCTTCGTCAACTGAAGTGAGTGTGAACATATGACAACTAAACTAAACAAGCCCCAAAACATCTGCCAAGAGCCCTTATCTATATACAGATTTGGCTTTGGATATTGACTGTTTACTCAACCGACATTCCAGGTAGATCCGGCTTGATGATACACATTGCATCAAGATACAGAGTTCTCTATAAATTCCACAATATGAGTCAGCGGTTTCTATATCAGTAAACGTCCAAGGAAGAAAGGACATTAAGAGTAGATTTTTCTCCTGCAGGTTGAAGTAACTTATTTCTG